TCTTCTACATCAACATGTGTCTGTGGGGATTGTCCACAGTATTGAGTATGTAAGTCACTTTGGATAAAAGTGCCTACAAGTAACATGTAATGTAATGTAATGTAGAAATGGCCATGAGCTCTGAGCTGAAACCACAGAGAGTCTGACCCCAGCCTCAGAAATACTCTGCACAGGAAGAGGAAGTTGTCACTCACATTATATTTCTGTGTCTCACAGTGAGACGCTCAGACAGCAGGAAGACATCATGGAGGTCACAGCGCTCTGCTGCCGACTGCGTGAGTCTCAGCTTTCTTTCAACTTTCATTTATTCTTTTAATATATATTTGTCTGACATAAAGTTTATTTTCATATAGTGACGGGTGTAATCATTCTGCTGGGTGCACATATTCAGGAGAGTTCTTCGCAAAACAATGGTGGGTAGAAACTACTAAAGATATACTTTGAACTTTCGCATCATGCTGTCCTTATTTTAAACCCCAAACAATTTGGCACTATTTATCAGATGTTTTATTGTCTTCATTTCTGTTTTTCAGACACAGCTTTTCGTATTATTGCAGAGAGACTGCAGCTCTTTGAGTACAAGCCCTTCTCTTTTCTCTGCGAGGGTCTTGGGTATAATTTCAAAGGAATCAGGAATGGTAAAAAGTTAACAAAGGATTGTTCTATGATTAATTCAACAACACTGAAATGCACCATTCAACAGGCCTATGCAAAGGACAGTGGAGTTTACTGGTGTGAGGATGAAAAAGGAGAGAAGAGCAATTCTGTCAACATCACTGTCACCGGTATGTTTATTATAGTTATTTTAAGTCTTCAAATATAACCTAACTTTACTTACCTAATTTAAACCTTTTTTGTATATTTGTATTTCTTGAAAACACTTATTTTAATCATAGTTTTTACATGATTAAAATATATATTTCTGTTTTTGCTCTTATTTTACATCTTAATCAGAAATAATAAAGCACTTTCCTCATATTTGTAAAAAATGATTTAAAAAATGAAGATAAACTTTTCTCATCTAAATATTGTTAGGGAAAACTGAATTGAACAAGTAAATGCAATGAAAAGCAAGCTCCAAACTGTTTTCAAATAGCTTAGCGTTGCAGATAGCAATTTTCTTAAATTTGATTTCGATCACAACATTTACAAAGAAAAACAAATTTACAGGTTTTCAAAATACGAGTTAAGTAGTTGTTTTTTGTCCTGTCTCTGATGACAATTTAACAATTGTCAAATTCAAATATAATATAAATATCACACTCAACCTGCAACGCTGCCACAGGGATATCAGGAAACATTTAATAATACCTCGATACACTACTATTCATAACTGTTTATTTTCTGATTTATTCATCATTTAGCTCTGTTTATTTCTGATATTTTCATTCACTCTGTGGATGTTAGCAGCCACATTTACATTCACAGTAGTTCTATAATGCCTGTGTCTGTATTAAGTCACATTTTTCGAAGCAACTCCATATTTTTCTGTATGATTAAACATTTTATCCCGATGTTGTTCAGCTGGCTCTGTGATCCTGGAGAGTCCTGTGCTTCCTGTGAGAGAGGGAGAATCTGTGACTCTGAGCTGCAGAAACAAGACGACCACTTCCTCCATCCTCTCAGCTGACTTCTATAAAGATGGCCGCCTCATCAGGAGCAGCTCGACAGGAAACATCACCATCCAAAGAGTTTCTAAATCTGATGAAGGACTCTACAAGTGCAGCATCTCTGAAGGTGGAGAATCACCAGAGAGCCGGTTTGCTGTCATAGGTGAGATACAAAAACTACAAAAGATGATATTTAATCTATTTACGAGAAGCACACTTTTTATATCCCTATTAAATATATACCGTATTTGGCATGAACTGCTATTTAGGCTAAAATAGACCTCACACAGTTCATAGTCAAATTTAACTGCCAGTAAAATGTACATTTATTTAATGATCCCCATAGGGAAATTCAGACCTCAGAGCAACAACAGCAATACGAGTGAAACACAGGATAGGACAGGTAAGAGTTCCTTTCAGAATAACAAATATAAGTATCAGTATGAATAAAACACTTAAAATAGGGATAGGTGTGCAGCGCATCATTAAAAGTTTTACGCCAAATTATATTTCTCAAATTTGAGTTTACAATGTGAAGTAATATATTTCCATATTCTATAAACAATGAATCAAAGGTGGAAAAAATACTCAAATATTTTACTTCTCTTAAACCCCGCCCCTCCCTATACGCATTTAGCCTCATGACAAACATTTGGCGTAGGGCCCGTATTTGGCCAGTGGCAGGACTGCTTATAACGCTCTATAACCAAACAAAAAAAATCTGTACAAATAAAAGTTCTGGATTTATATTTTCCATAAGTATTCAAAGCAAAATCTAGTATGTATTTAAATAAAACTTTTTTATTTTTTTACTGATACCTATTTTAACTACTTTGTGTACTGATGGATAATAATCTTTAGCAGTTTAATATTCTATAAATGTATTAAGTATTACGTAAATTAACTCCAGATTTCAAACAAATGCAGCAAAAATTACATTATTTCCCTCTAAATTGTTGTAGAGTATGAGTTTAAAGTAGCATAAAGTTTAAATACCAAAGTAAAGTACGTTAAGGTGTAGTTAGGTACAGTACTTGAGTAAATGCACTTAGTTGCTGTCCACCACTGAAACTAAGTTGTGAGGAAATGTAAATCGTCCATCACAAGAACATTATGTATATGATTATGTAAATGCTTTATGCTAACATTGTGTTTTGTGTATTACAGAAAGTGGTGACCTACTTAATGGAGAAATGCGTCCTTTCCTCAATTTCTCCGTCCTGCTGTGGGCCACTATCATTATTTTCATTTTGGTTTTGGCGCTGCTGGTGCTGGGAGTCATTTATATTAAACACAGAGGTATGAACATCTCAACACATTGTGTATTTGTATACATGCAAATACGTTAATAATAGCTTACTTACTTCTAAATCCAATGTTAAGGACCATTAAAGTGAGAACTTCTTCAAAACAAAACATTTACACAGAGATTTTACGAAGAGAGAAACAAGTTATCTACATTATTAATACATTATAGAACTGATATACATAAAGTAAAGCTGTGAGGACAATAGTACACATAATTGTTGATGAGTATTCTAGACTTGTTATTTACAAATCTAACTTTAATGTATTTTTTTCCTGTTTTTCCATAATTGTTTTGCTTTTTCATGCACCAGACTCCTCAAAGACACAAACAGCAGATTCACCATGCGAGGAAAATCTAAACGGTGAGTTATACAAAATGTACATTATTGCCAAATAGTTAAGACGACAATTTATTATTTGATGTGTTTCCAGCTGCAGCCTGTGAAGAGGATCAGGAAAATGTCACGTATGCTCTCGTCGTCAAAAAACCAAGACATCACCAAGGTTTTACTTCACTTTAATATCTCATTTTTATTTTATTTTTTTTACGATTTAGGGAAAAAAAACAACTATTATAGTTACCCTGTTTCTTTATTATGAATCCAGATTCAAACAACATACAGTATATACTGCTCACTCTGAGAGGCAAAGGTTTACTTTGAGTGGTACTTAAAGATCGTTGTCACGTGCTGAAAGTGACAGTTGAGACGTGCAGAGGTGTAAATTATTTTAGCTCTCTCAGCGTTTCACACACTGCGTTTTATTTTAGACGCTGCAGACGCTGCTGATAATCCGAGCCTCAGCATCGAGACAGACCACAGCCAAAACCCACAAACTGAAGCAGGTGAGGGGGACTTTAAAAATAATTATTAGTCAAAATATATATTTATAATGTGCTTTCTTTAAGTTCATCTCTTGCTCACTGACATTCTGTCCCTGCAGGTGAACCTTCATTTGAAACAGTTTACTCTGCGTTGGTTATAAATGAGACTCCACAAACTCACGGTTCGTATTTCATCAAACTGCAGTTAAAAAATGTAATCTAGAAGATGCACACAAATAATTCACACTATTAAAATGCTTATCAGATATCTGTAGCTTTCCATTTAGAATAGCTACAGATATCTGAACAGTAGAAGTTATTTTGACCCATTAAAGTAGTGAAAATAATAATCTTTATTTTGTTAGCACCTTACAAATATATCTTTGAATGTTGAGTCATGTACAGTTATGAATGACACACTCTTGTAAATATAAAGGATGGGGGCCACATTTGAATAGTTTTTTCAATATATATGAATGATTCTTAGAGAATTTTGACTTTTTGCTCAGAATTTTCAAGCCAACTTTATTTATATAGCACATTTTAACACAAGGCATTCAAAGAAAACAATTCCCCCAAATTCAGTTTTTTTTTGGGTATTTTGACTTTTTTCTCAGATTGTTGCATTTTTCTGAATTATTTTTAGGTTATGGTTTAATGGTTTTAAGTGCTGGACAGAAAACATAGAAAATACTGACATTTTTATTTTTTATAGCGATAATGTTGGATCTAACATTTTTAAAGGTCCCCTATTATGCAAAATCCATTTCTTCATGTCTCTTCTACATCAACATGTGTCCCCTCTTCTCCATGTCTCTTCTACATCAACACGTGTCCCCTCTTCTTAATGTCTCTTCTACATCAGCATGTGTCCCCTCTTCTTCATGTCTCTTCTACATCAACATGTGTCCCCTCTTCTTCATGTCTCTTCTACATCAACATGTGTCCCCTCTTCTTCATGTCTCTTCTACATCAACATGTGTCCCCTCTTCTTCATGTCTCTTCTACATCAACATGTGTCCCCTCTTCTTAATGTCTCTACATCAACATGTGTCCCCTCTTCTTCATGTCTCTTCTACATCAACATGTGTCCCCTCTTCTCCATGTCTCTTCTACATCAACATGTGTCCCCTCTTCTTCATGTCTCTTCTACATCAACATGTGTCCCCTCTTCTCCATGTCTCTTCTACATCAACATATGTCCCCTCTTCTTCATGTCTCTTCTACATCAACATGTGTCCCCTCTTCTCCATGTCTCTTCTACATCAACATGTGTCCCCTCTTCTTCATGTCTCTTCTACATCAACATGTGTCCCCTCTTCTTCATGTCTCTTCTACATCAACATGTGTCCCCTCTTCTTCATGTCTCTTCTACATCAACATGTGTCCCCTCTTCTTCATGTCTCTTCTACATCAACATGTGTCCCCTCTTCTCCATGTCTCTTCTACATCAACATGTGTCCCCTCTTCTTCATGTCTCTACATCTCAAATCATGTCTCTTCTACAACATCGTGTCCCCTCTTCTCCATGTCTCTTCTACATCTGTGTCCCCTCTTCTTCATGTCTCTTCTACATCAACATGTGTCCCCTCTTCTTCATGTCTCTTCTACATCAACATGTGTCCCCTCTTCTTCATGTCTCTTCTACATCAACATGTGTCCCCTCTTCCTC